AAGTGCACCCGCTTCTAATTTTTGTGATTAAAAAAAGCAAATAGTTACAGAATGGATTAACCTTATTTATATTGAACCTTATGGGGAAATTTGACTTGGGTCACAACCAATTTGGGTCACAACCAGAGTCTTGGTACAGATTAAGTTTGCGAGCCAAGGTACCACTGTACTTCCTTTTTCCTTTTCTAAATCCACTGTTCCAACTTCATTGGATGATCTGAAGAAAAAAATCCCCTCTCTACTTCTTGCACACCTTAAATAATTTTATAAATTCATTCTGGCTCTCATAAAAAACCCTCAAGCATTCATCATAGTGAAGTTGCTGCAGGCACTATCATTTTGATTATCCTTTTCCAGCTCTGCAGTATCCTTTTTACAATGCAGCAATCAGAACTGTACTTAATTTGTCACTTGCAAATAAAAGTAGTAAAGTGCAATTGTGGTATAATAAAGCATTGTAAAAAAGGGAAGGGTGAAAAAGCCATTTATTGGAAACGCAGTAGGATCATTACCTTGCAAGAACTATTCCAAGATATTTATACAAATACAATATGAAAGATACTATATTTAGTACTACTTGACTCTGGTAATAAGTTCTTCCACCTGAAATGTGAAATGAGGTATGGAAGCTATTTGTAGAATGTTTCAGTAAATACTTTTACCTTATTTAAGGGATTTAGAAGCCACCTTTGAGACAAAACCTTCCCAAGGTAGCATACAACAGAAATTAAAACCACAAAGCATTGTAAAACAATACTAAAACATTTATCTGTTCAGTGTTTAAGCTATATTTGTCTGTACTAAAAAAGAAATAGCTAGGGTCAGATACATCCAGCAGAGGGAAGTGGTACACAAGCAATTGCAATGCATTATTAGAGAGGCCTCTTCTACCATCAATCAAAGTTCTCTTTAATCTTTCCATGTATTACTCCTGTCTAAATGATTTATTGCAAAATCTAAAAAAAGCCCTATGATACTGTGATCAAAGCTATAATGCTATCTTTATTTTTCTGTGAAGTGATTGAAAATATTATGATGATTGGGGGTGGGGAGCAATAATGATGAATATTTAAGACAAGTATGCAAAATCTCATTTGTACCCCAACCTCTAAAGTCCTAAAAGGAGCAAACCGTTAAAATAAAATAAAATAAAATAAAAAACAAATAACCAATTGAAAGTACTTAACAGATTGAACAATGAAGGTGAAAATTAATATCAGAGGTAAAGTCTCATTAAAAATAACCTATGTATAATGGGAAGATATCTACCAAGATACCGCAATTATTAAGATTCTTCTGCTTTTTTAAGCAGGAAAATACAGTATAGTCTAAAATATGAAGAATTTAAAGATATAAGTTTGCTACCATCATGATTCCTCTATTGATTGTGTCGAAAACTACCCTATATCCTTCAGCACTGTAGTTCTCCCTCTGTTTCCTATTGCATTTCAAAGGGAAAGGTAATAAGCAGAGGCTGTCTTACTTCTTTTTAGTGATATCAGATGGATTCCATTAATGGCACTGCATGAAGCCATCTTTATATTGTCTGGTCTGTCTACGTCCTCTGTGGAGATTTCTTGGCATGCAGGATTTGTTAATTTCCTTGGGTCAGGCCTCAACAGGAAATTCCAAAGTCATCTAAAGCTGAAATTTGAATATTCAGAAAAGGGCAGAAGGAATCACAGAACAACGCTACAAATCCTTTCACTTTATTATGCAGCACATTTACTACTGTGGCAACATGGCAGATGTACTTATGTATTCAAAACATTTTACCATACTTTTCCCTCATAATGGATGATCAAGGCAGCTTGCAAAAAGTAAAACAGTAACATTCCATAAAATCACTACTAAAACAGACACACTGACAAGATCAAAAGCCTGGACAAACAAAACTGTTTTACATTGCCATCCACAGGCCAAAAGAGAGTGTTAAGCAAATATTTTGGGGAAGGTATTTCATAGTCAGGATATTATTCTGGTCAGGGCCCCGACTCTGGCAACCATCCACCTGACCTTTGAAAGGGGCATTCCTCGGGGCAGAGCCTCTGCAGTTGATTACAGTTTGAGAAAAAGTGATTCCTTTAAGATAAACATGTAATTTATAGCACTTCTAAATAGCTTCACTAAGGGTGCAATCTTTAGCAAGTATATAGACAGAAACAATGCCTGCAACTCCCAGCATGCCAAGAGGTCTTTCTTTTGTCTGTAATCTTGCACCTTAAAGTCCTACTTAATTTCTTTTGAAATTTCTTAATAAGTTACTTTTATCCTTGCTATTTGTTTTGAGGCAGTTCAGCAATGGATCTTGAACCAAGTTTCCCAGATTCAGTTTTGATCCCCAGGATCATGTAGCCTCTGTTTAGGCTTCAATGAACTATAACAAGAATAATAAATTCAGACTTTTTGTAGGATTTGGGGAACAGTCTGTGTACCCTTGGGAGTAATCCCCATTAAACACAGTTAGGTTTATTAAAGAGTAAACGATGCTTATTTCAGAACTGCATTGCAGTTGGTGTATTGATTGCAAGGGGTGGGCAATGTGTGGTGCACCAGATATTGGGCTGCAACTTTCATCTTTCCTCACCGTTGCCTATGCTGGCTAGGGTTCATGGAAGTTAACATGTCGCCCTCTAACAACGCTGGGAGGGCCGCATGTTGCCCATCCCTAGGTTATCCCTCAGGGCTTGCACTGTAAAGTGTACCTCTCCTTGATGGGTGGCAGATTATCTTGGTTTACTGCTTAATGCCTCATGTTGGTACAGCACCCAGACAGAAGTAAAATTTGGATTGGATTTTCTGAAGTAAAATTAGCACAGTTTAGCCTTATGTGACATATCCAACCATGTATCGGTGGTTCTTAAAACTGAATGTAATATCTGATCTGCCTTCCATGGCAGTTTCCTTTATTTATTTATAAGATTATAAATCTGATATCAACAGGTAGGAAGTTCTACAGAGAGGGAGCCAGACAAGTACAGTGAAGGGTGTACTGTGAGTGGCCTCCAAACGGACTTCAGGTTTATGCAGAACCACCAGGAGTGCCTCATCTTAAGGCCTCAGTGACTGGGGAGGATGGTAAAGGTGAATGGCACACACACAAACATACACACGACTAGGATCTGGGTTAAATTTTGGATTTTAGCAGATACTTCTTAAATTGCTACAGGATCCCTGAAAAATAACATTGCCAGTGAAGAATTATATTTTTGAAGATATATAGGTAGTACAACCCATAAAATGCCCATGAATATAAAAAATACTGAATGCACTTGCACAAACATAAGAATTAAGGACTATTTTAAAGGGAATGAGGCTGATTTGACACATGTTCATCCTGTGCAAAGGATATTTGAAGTTATCCTTATGTAGTAAGTTATTGTTACTACTGCCATAATATGGAATGCTGTTTTCTGTGTGATTCTTCCACATGACTTGCTGTTTTCACATCATTGTGGCTCTTTCTAGAGGTGGCTGATGCTGGCATGAAAAATGTTGAGCCCTCAAAAGATGCAGAGAGGGGAAAGTGGTGGGTAACAGCCATAGTATAAAGATTGTTTGAAGGCCTCCACCTGATAAAGAATATCTAGCTGCATGATTGTCATAAGAAATGGCAAAAAATCAAATAATATATATTGCAAATCATACTGGAAAGAAGAATGTACTGGGGTAGTGTGAGGGGGAGAAACAGGGAAGAACAGAGGATTAAAAATATTTTTAAAAAGGTCATCCCAAGCATGACACTTCTGAAATGACACAGCACAAGGGCCCTAGCATTATCTCCAACTTTATCAGCAACCATAGCCATTATTTCATGTCAGATGAGCAAGGTGTTTTGCTCAGGCCAGTCAGAAGGACCCAGTCTACTCCCAGCAGCTTTGCATTGCCCTGAGTGCTTTCAACCTCACTGTTTTAAAATCACCCCCTTCCCACAAATTACTGCTGCATCAATTCCCTTAACCTCCCTGCTTTCGAGAGGGCTCAGGAGGCGGCCAGAAATGCCTCCCCTCCCCATCCTTCCTTTGTGCCTGCACTGCATCATTTCTTGTTTACATTCCCAGCTGGCTGGTTTGGACTGAGTGGGGAGCAGGCAGCTGGTACCTGCTCAGGGGCGGCTGGAAAGTCTCTCTCCACAGTCCAGCTCGGACAGCGTGTGCAATAAACCGGGCGCGTTGTGTTTACCAAAGTGGCCTTTCGCCAAGAGAAGCTCAGGCAAGCAAGCCGCCCTTTGTGCTCAGTCTCCCTCCCTCCCCCTCCCTCCCCGTGCTGCTTTTACTGCCTGGAGAAAAGGGACACATTTCCTGCTTTCTCCCAACACCGGCATACTTCGGGAACCACCAAACAAATTGGACAGCTCTCGCAAGTTCAGTCACCGTACAAGAAAGGAAGACTTTTTTTTTTTAAAGAGGCTTACCAGGGCGTGGTTTCAGAAATTGACATGCAGTAGCAAAGCCCCAGCATCTTGGATTTGTGATAGGGCTTGGATTCTGCCCCCGCCCGTTCCACCTTAATGACTGAACCGGCGCTTGGGGACAGCACTTCTTTTCTTTGGCCTGGCGGGGGAGCCAAATGCTATCGATTTGTAGCCAGGGAAACATCTTTTTTTTAAAAAATCGTCTCTTCCTTGCACCCCCTCCCTTTCCCTCTGGTTTGATTGCTGGTCAACTCCAGAGGATCATTGTGAGCTGGTTGCCAGAACATCAGGCCACTTATGGCCTAAATCGTACCACAAATGTCTTTTCAGTAAACCCCTCTTTTTAGCATTGCTGGCTGCGGGATTTAACAGGCAAGCGGCATATAAACAACGATGGTAAGCTATTTAATCCTTGATATTTTTAATAAAATCTCTATAGTAAATGGTGGGTTAATTCAGTTCTATGTGTTTTGGATTGATTTTCCTAGAGCGTGATCTAGGCAAAACATGTCTATTGCTTTATTTTGAGGAGGAAATTCTCAGCCCGCTTTGGCATCGCTGTTAAATCTCTCCTCCCTTTCTCCAGAGCTCAGGCAACGCTTCCTACAGATGCTCCATGTCATCCTCTGCGGATTTTTCTGATGATGATGATTTCAGCCAGAAATCTGGTTCCCTGTCTCCTGCTCCGGGTGACACCCTGCCCTGGAACCTACCTAAACATGAGAGATCCAAGAGGAAGATTCAAGGAGGAGCAGTGCTGGATCCAGCCGAGAGAGCTGTACTCAGGATAGCTGGTAAGACCAGGATGAATGAAATGGGAAACTGGAATGTGGGGAAGAGACCTAATAGCTGTGCATTTGTGTCTGTATTACTGTGGGTTTGTCCCTTATAGAGAGGAGGACAGAGTGAGAGCCTAGTTTATTGCTGCTTTTGCAGTGCAAGCCTAAACATATCTACTCAGAAGTAAGCTCCACTGCCTTCAGTGGAATTTGCATCCACGTAAATGTGTACAAGATTGCAAGACAAGAGCGCTGCACAAAAACAAAATGAAACAGCCTCCCCCCCCCCCCGCCACCAATATCCTCTATGCCCAGTTTTCCAGTGATAGTGACTAAGCTGTTTAGTCATGTTTTCTTGCTGGGCGGGTGAATGGCCCTGGGTGTGCGGGCAGGAAATGCAGCTGCAATATGTGCAGGTGCGTGCATTAAACTTTTACGGGAGGTTGCATTATTAAGAGTGCAGGATGTGAGCCACTTTGTCCATTTCATATAGTGTATTCTTTTTGGTGCAAAAACTTGAAGCCTTAGGAAGGATGAAAGCCTATATGTACATGTTTAGGAATAAGCCTGGATAAGTGCAATGAGACTTACTTTTGTAAATATAAGTAAATGTACATGGGATCAGGTAACATGAGGACTTTCAGTTTTTAAAGGCTATAATCTGATTTGGAAGGAACTGAGGGGCAGTGGCTGCATGCATTTGATTCCTCTGACTGTCCTTGTTAAGTTTAACATGGCTTGTGTCTTGAAACCAGCAGGAGCAGAGCCACTGAAAAACACTGCTCTCTCTTCTTTGCCCCTGTATAATATAGAAGAAAGAGGCCCTGCTGGGTACACAGTAGAAAGCATCAGAAAAGTTGATCTGTGTTGGGTTTGAAATAGGTCAGGGAACTTGCTTGGCTAACCCTGCTGCAAACTGAGAAGGTAGAGTAACTTGATCATTGAGAGAAAATGCTGTTTGTGCCTGTGTTATTCACAGAGCCTGCCAGGAATGATAATGTTCAGTGCATATACACAGGACCATCATAGTTAAGCTGTAAAGATGAACCAGCTTTTGTAACACTTGTTAGGGGGATGCATTGAAAAAGTGTGGTGCAGGTCTTCTGATTGGCTACATTTGTTTAAAAAAAATGTTGGGACTCTGACTCTCCTTGGAAGCTATAATTAGGAAGTTCTACTATCTAACCAGAGACAGTGGGTGGCATGGCACTTTGCATATGCTCAATTGCACACCTCTTTGTGTCTTCACATATCAAAGGGCTGAGCTTTGGAAAATGCTTCTGGAACTTGCCTTGGCTGAAATGAAATCATTCGAGAGGGGGAAGAGCTTGGGATCTGGGGGCACAAATCAGCCTCTGCCCCTCCTGTCATGCTCACAATAGAAGCTGGTGATTGCCAGAGAATGGTGTGTGTGTGTGCATGAGAAAAAGGGGGCTTGGGGAGAGACCCTAATCACAGTTAGTACTTAGGAAATAATCACAAACAGTAATCAGGTTTCTCCCCATAGAAGCCAGAAACCCCACGCCGTGAAAAACAGGCTTTTGTCAGGCCTCGCTGTTATTCTTTGAAATGCTGTCAACAAAAATGTCAAGCAGGACAAATACAGGAGAGAGACCTGGCTCTCCATCTTTGTCAGAAGTGGTTATCCTGTTTTCTCACTCTGTCTTGGTGCAGGATGCTTGGAGGGATGTGGCGGGAAGGGAGAAGGAGAGAGCCAGGAAGAGTGAGCGCTGTACCGCACTCGTCCCCAGTCAGGTGCCCCCCCAGATGTGTTAGACTGCAACTTCCATGACTAGCTTTGGGATGGTGGGAGTTGTCTACCTCGGGGTGCAGTCCTGCTTTGGGCTCTATGAAGGCGAGGAGGAGGGGTAGGGAAAAGTACCAGAGGAGGTGCCGCGGAAAGCAAGAGAGCGAAGGCTGCGGCAGCGCGGCCGGGCAGAAGGACCCAGCCTTGCCTGCGGGGACAGAGGAAAGTGTGGGGAGGGAGCAGAGCGGCGTGGGGCGGGGAGCGCACATGCGCGCTTTCTGCTGCTGGCGGCGGGCCGGCAGGAATGGTGCGACCGGCGGTGACACCTGCAGGGCTTTGGCGCCGCCCCTTGGCCTCTCGCCACTCCCAGTCGTAGGGCGCTTATTGTTGCTGTGGCTGTCGCCGTCATTAGCGGCCAGCGGGAACGTGCCAAGAGCCGGCGCGGACCCGCGGAAAGGCATCGTGCTGCTCGAGAGCCCTCGCCGCTGGGAGCCGGCCCGCGGGGAGGGGAGGAGGTCGCTTCGCCGGCCCTTTCTGGGAAGCCGAGCTATTCCTGGCGCTGATGCCACGCGTAACGGTGAAAAGGGTGGCGGTGCGAGGGACGCGGGAGGCGGCGGCGCCGGCGCCGGCGAGCCTGCAGGTGACTCGCTGGTGCAGTGAGACTGTCTGTGCCCGGGGAGCGACGGCGGAGTCTTTGAAACGAAAACAACAAGCCAGGCCCCCCTGCATTATGGGCCATACAAAGCCGAGCAGCGAGAAGGGAGCGCAGGCTCCTTTGTAATGCCAGCGGGCCCAACGTTGAAAGGAAACCTCCCAAGAAGAGGGAGAGCTCTGTGTCTGTTGCAGCAAAACAACAAAAGGCTCTTCTGACACACATGCAACAGACAAACACATTTTTGACGGCATTAAGCCATAAGTCTTCCTCTTTGTTGTTTGGGCTGCAAGGGAGACTGGCACCCCTCCACGATGGAGTTGGACATGAGGGACAAAAAGAGGAATGGCTGTGGATTTGGGAATTTGAGGGGTAGCCATTAAAAAGAAAAGGCAGACAATAAAAGTGTTTGCTCTTGGAACTGAGGATGTATTTCTCTTCCTTTGGCGAGAGAAAGGATAGAAAGCAGGACCAAGGCAGATTAGTTTATCCACAGCTAGTTAACAGTCCAAACAACTGTAAATGTACATCCTTGGCATAGAAGTTGTGGTCCTTCTCAGGTAAACACTCCCCAAACATAGGAATTGCCATCTTCAAGCAGCTGTCCATGATTCCAACAGAGGAGTTTTAGGACAGAACTAAAGATGGTCCACATCTTATGGGGAACTTAGAAAAGCTCTGTGGAGTCCCTTCCTTTTTGAAATCTTACTCTGCTGCCACCGTTATTTTCCAGTTTTTTGAAATGACTATCCAGCTGCTCATGTAGTTCAGCCCAGCATAGTCCAATCATAAGTCTATGCCTGTTTACTCATAAATAAACCTCACTGTGTTTTGAGGGATTTCTAATTTAAGTGTACATGTACGACTGTTCTGGGAAAAATGGTGGAAAATAAGAGGATACAATGATCCATGGTAAAGGAGTAACTTTTGGGAGAGATGGGATGAAGGGGTCTGTACTGTGGGAGGGCAAGGAAGAAAAGCCTGAGCTGGAGGTCACCTCCAGGGTCCAGTCTGTGCCATCCATGACTGCCTCCCTCCTTTCGCTCGCTCGCTCGCTCTCTCGCTCTCTCGCTCTCTCTCTGGCTGTTAAGCTAAGAGCACGGAGATTTGCTGCTAATGAAATCTGAGAGGGAGGAAGCCCTTTTCATTGGAGGCACACACGTGTTCCCACACCGCTCGGGGAGGGGGCATGGGCGTTTCCTCGGACAGCTTGCACTGCTACAGCCCCCTCCTTCCTTCCTTCCCTCCCTCCAGCCTTTTTGTGCCGCTCTCCAAGGCTTCTCTGCTGCTCGGAGCCTTGAAGAGACCTGATCAAGACAGTGTCAAAACTTCAACCATGGCTGGTTATCTCTCCCCTGGTGCTCACTTCTTTACGGAGGAACAGGAGTACCTGCAGGCTTATGAAGATGTGCTGGAGAGATACAAAGGTACTGTGAAGCTTAGGCTGTGCCCCAGTGTAACCCAGGAGCAGGATTTATCTGCTGCAGTACAGATGAGCTGGAGCTTTTCCTTAAAATAGCTACTGGTTGTTGTGGTGGAACAGGTGGCAGGATCAGGGCCCCGAGACATTTAGCTATTACAGTCCACTATATGGGGCTGCCAGTAGACAGTGTGCAGACTATAGAAAAATGCTAACTTCTGATTCCTTAGGGTTTGGGTCATTTTTCATGCAGCAAGGATTTCTGTCCTCTTTCTTTCATATAAAGTACTTAAGAGCTGCTGTCCTTTTTCTGCTTGGGTGTGAAAATGCTGCTGAGATCCCAATGAGATTATTCTAAGATGGTACTGCATGCTGCTTGTCTATGATAAGGCCTGCTTCACTGTTCATTTTGCAGCATAGTGCTGCATTCTAGGTTTTTAACCAATGTCCTTTTAATATCCTTTTTTATTAACAAGTTGAAAGCTAAAAATATACATCAACTATTTTCTTTGCAGTACTTATCTGTGCTTAAAGGCCATCCTGTTCTGTCTTTCTGTGTGTCAACTACTGCTAGGAGGATGACTTTGCATCTTGCGTGGGGCTAGGACAACAGCAGCAGGCCCTTATTTTTATTTCCCCATCATTTACTCGATGGAGATAGAAGTTTCTAGTCTCCATAAAAAATCCAGTGATTGCTTGTATCATATTAGGAATACCACTTTTATTCTTCTGTTATTCTAGGTGGTCTGGAAATGTTCTTAGATCTATTAGGCATCAGTTTGGAATGATAAGTAGATTTCTTCATAGTACTGTTTGAAAACAAATAGCTATTAGCAGCTATAGCCCAGTTGTTACTGTGGAACCCAACATTTTGGCTGGATCTTTCTCCACAAATATATATTGTAATGTGTACCATTTGCTGTTATTTGAAGTATCTGAAGGACAAGAAGATGATCTTAATTCCTTAATTAAATGATTTAAAGTTTTCAACTTATGAATGCCTAAAAGTTAACAAGGCTTCAGCTGATCTATACCTGTTGTTTTAGTGGGAATGGCATAGTTGTAATCCTTCCCTTTCTGTTCATTTTTGCTGCTTTTGATGAAAAAATAACATGCAAACTAGCTTTCAGATTTGGTCTTAAGAGATTATTCAGTTATGGTAGATTACTCCAAATCTGCTTCACTTATAATTTATG